CATCAGTCTTGATAGGAAGGGTGAACACCCGAATAAATCTCTCCTCCATCATGTGCGCATGCTACTCTGACATGTTTTAGTTTATGTTAATTAATAATTAAAGGAATGAGTACGAAAACAATTTATTACGATAGGTAAAAATTCGAGGAGGCTGGAGTGTTATGTTTATTTGTGCACCTTAATTTTATTTATTGAAAAAAAAAATGTACTATCAAATATAACCTTCTATTTTTTTAAATTAAAAAGTAATTTGTATTGTGATAAAATATTGGGTTATGCAAAAACAATTTAAATAAATAAATTTAATTAATATTAAAGTCTTATCTTTGTATAGTATTGGTAATCTAGTAATTGGCTCAGATTGGGTAAGTAAAGACAAGAGTCTTAGTCATGTCTCAACGTTCAAGTTGGAGACAATTACAATTAATATCGCAATTGTAATATTGAATCATCGCCTTACAGCGAAAAATGTTAGTGTTTATTATTATTTAATAAAGTATCAATTATTTACTCATTTTATAGTTTTATACAGTTCACTAACAATGGCAATAAGAAAAAAACTTTAGTGAATCTTAAGTACAAATATTATAAAATCACAGATAATTAAACGGCTGCTATTATTTATGAGTAAATATAATATGAATATCAAATTTATTTAAATGAATTTAATATTGTTTTTAGAATTCAAATGGTTTATTTATTTTTTATTTTTTTATTGTTATAACTTATTATAATTGATACAGGTTAAAATAAAATTTGCTTCATTTGTTAATTTTATCTTGTAAGTTGTTTCTCCGTATAAATCATATTATAAATAATATACACAATACAGTATATACACATTACCCATTCAATGATATAATTCTTTTCAAATAAACATAATTAATAATTTATTAACAAAACGGTAATAAGTAAGTAGGTATAGGAAGTCTGTGTTGTAAACTTGTAAGTTATATATAATCAAATAATGTATTTGTGGCTTGGTGTGGCGCGTTGGCTGCTGCCAGTCGCGGAATGCGACTGGGAGTAACGGTCACAGCTACTAGTTCCTGGATGGGTGATCAACCGGGCTAGTAGTGGTTAAAAATCTTGCCACACATACCTACACGTGTTTGCTATCAACCGTAACAACCATAACAATCGTAAAAACAACCTACATGTACCAACCTTAACTTTACCCAAAGTTCATAATCCCTGCAACAGCTAATGACCCTAGTCGCCGGTCATAAGTTCAATAAAAAAAATAAAAAAACAATGTATTTGTAAAAACATATTTGCCTGACACATTAACTAGAGAATATTAATTTACACTGAATGATTATGTAAATTTATAATTTTAATAAATAAAATTATAAATTCTAACGGATAAATTAATATAATAATATCAATGTGAGAATAATTTAAATTATTGACAATATTTTCATTGTTTTAATAATTTTTTTTTTTTAAGTCATCAAAATTAACCTTTTCTACAACATACTAGGAATTTGATTTAAAAGGATATACACTTTTTATAAAATACACTTACACTTTTATAATTGATTCACATTTTATATTTGTTTTTGTTTTTATTTTATTTTTTACTTTCACCTAAAACTAAAATAGATACACAGGTTTATTTCACAAAAAAAAAAAAAATTATAATCATGATAATAATAATAATAATAATGATAATAAAGAAAAAAAAAGGAAAAAGAGAATCTATCCGCTTGTAGCATTTTCATAATTGTAAACTGAGATCTTAATAATAATATGTAGAAATGAAAAAAAAAATATAATTAATATGTTTGTATGCAGACTTAATCATTGTAATCATAAAATATATCAAATATAATATAATATATTGAGTTTCTACAAAAATTAAAAACTAAGTCACTGTAATAATGGGATGGGTGAACACCATTCTGGTTTAATACATTTTTAAAGCGTAATTACATTAGCTATGGTACCTAATTGATAATGGGTCATAAAATACAATTCTTTTTAGTACAAAAAAAAATATATATATATATATATATATTTATACTTATATTTATATATTTACCATATTATATAATATATTTAAAATTATTTAGGTACTTTTTCTACTAAAGTACCTAAAACATACATCAGTCATTAAAATATCATATATTTTTTCTTCTCCTTTAATTAGGTAATACACAATATCGTACACAACTAACACTATGATTTACTTAAACTATTTATTGATTTTTTTTTATAAATTAGTACTGTGTATATATTAATATGGGTACCATAGCGACAACTATCTTAAAAAATATTTTATATAAAGGTGGGCATAGTTCATTTAGTGTAATGATTGGAAGTTAATTTATTTCATCAATACAATGATATATTGTAATTCATATAACAAAATGCATATATTATAATAATACGCATAATTGTAACATTTTTCAATCAATCCTTAGATTAAATATAAATTATAAATAATCTATGATCGATTATTTTCTTTTCTAATTGAGCAAAACCAAAAAAATATAAATTTATATTAAAATTAATATTTTAATATATATATATATATGTATATACTTTTGTATAAATATATATATACATTTAAAATAACATCAGTTACAAAATAGAAACAATAAGTCGATTTTTCCAAACAAAATTAGGCCTAAAATTATTAGGTAACCTATTTTTGTACAATTGATTTTTTTAAATTTTTTTTTTTTTTTTACTTTTTGATAATATATTTTTTTTTAAAACTAAAATATATCATTACTTACTTGGTCTTAAAAATATACACAAGTATTCATAGTATAATACTTACATACTAACATCCTATACATTATTTTACATAATTTAATTACACATTATTACAAAAATTTATTTCTATACCTAATAAGTAGCTTATAATTTATAAATAATAATAATAAAAGAAAAATAATTAACTTAGTGAACTATTTACGGAAAACACACTTATAGTAGTTTAAAACTTTAAAATATTATAAACAGATTCAAAATATTTAAAGCTTAAAAAAAATACAACACAACAGTCTTGAGTTACAAAATAAATAAAAATAAAAATGATTTTTTCTTTAATCAAAATATATTATATTGCTTTAGTGAATATTCGGGATCAATTCATCATTGTTTAATGACCTCTCAAAAATGAGGATTTATTTTTATTTTGTAACTACAACTGTTTATTCTAAGACTTATAGGATATATATTTAAAAATATAATATTTTAGTGTTTTTTTAGTATAATTTGTAAAATCACACACTTTGAATACAAATCACACAAAATCACTCAAAAATAATTTCGAAAACAAAAAAAAAAGTAACAAAAAAAAAATTAATAGATTCTGATTGCACAAATACATATGGGTAACATACACTAATATGCATACTTAACTGTAAATTGTAAATGCAAATGTAAAAAGTAAAATGATAAAAATAATAGATTAAATTTTAAATAAAACTTATACAAAAATGTACATTTATTTATTATTGTATTCGAAGTTTGAGAAAATGTAGGTCCTTTTTTTTATAACGCGTGTAGTTTCTTGGTATTTAGATAAACAAAAGTTTTTCAATGACAAACGATGTTGTTGGAACTTATATATTTGTCAATTAAAAAATAAATAAACATAGAGATAAGTATGCTAGACTAAAATTGCTAGGAATTTATAAAAGTGCCAAACAAACCAACATTATTCATAAAAGTTGTTATTACAAAATAAAAATAATAAAAATAAATAAACGTTTTTTTTGCATAAAAACTTAAATGATATTGCTCGAGTTCGTTTGATCCAATCACAGTCAACAGTTATAGAAATAAATAGATAAAAAAAAATTATATTTTTATATCATAGAAATCAATGGATTGTATAGAACAACAAAACAAAGTTTGTGATCTTCACTTTGTTTCAGTCCAGTGATAAAGTCATATATAATAAACTACAGCGTACCGATGGTCCCCTCAGTACAAATACATAATAATAAGTTATAGTCATGGAGATTTTTCACTGCTTAACTGCAGCACATATTATTCTATAATATTACGGTAGAAGTAAATGTCGGTTATTGTAAAATCTATATTTCAATACGATATGCGGGAAATCTGATGAAAATTGAACGTTCGTATGTGGGTGGGTGGTTTATATTACTCGTTTTATCATATATTATAATATTAAATACGTATGTTGACGGTTTAGCCAACCAAAAACGACGAAACAAAGAAATAATAATAATAATAATAATAATACTAGTAATAATAATAATAATAATAATAATAATAGTAATAATAGATATGAAAATTAAACATGCGTGGTCGCAATTCGTTTAATAATTCACAATGATATTAGATATTAAAAATAATAATTAAGGTGGTAGTGATGGAGTAGTGTAGTGTGTTGGTGATGGTAGCTTTGTAATTTTTTTTTTTTTTTTTAGTATAGGTAACTTCACCGATAATAAATTTTACTTCTTCTTCTCATTCTTCTTCTAATCGTTGTTGTTTGGAATGCGGCGCTTGCGGTTCGTCCGACTTTTTATAAATAACGTGTTGTATAGTGTTTTTGGCGAGGGGCAGCGGTGCGGGTTCAACTGTACAGTGATAATAGTAGAACGTCAAACCGGAAGGGTCGTCGTGGTCGTGTCGTCGTCGCCGTCGTCGTCGTCGTCGTGGTCGTGTGCGATCTCGCGAATCGTGCGAAGTATATATAATAATAATGATAATATAATATGAGAAATAGAAATAACACGTCGCATCCTGGCGATACGACATTAACAACATCAACAGCAACAACAACAACAACAACAACAACAACAACAATAACAACAACATCGGCAACGCCACACTTCGTCGTCGACAACGGCAACGAGAGCCGCGACGTACCCGCCGGCTAGACGTGGTCAGGCACCCCACACCCGACCGCTAACCCGACCCGGCCAAAGCGCGCGGGCGGCGATCGCGCGAGCACGGCGACGACGACGGCATCATCTGCGGAACGGCGTCGTCACCGCGCCGTGCCCTAGTCACCCGATGCCCTTGTACGCCAGCTTCATGTTGTCCAGCAGCTGGGCGAACTGCGCGTGCCCGTCGTGCGCCAACATGAACGTGTCGCGGGCCTTGCCCAGGAACTCGATGAAGTCGGCGTAGTGCCGGGGCGATATGTGCGTCAGCCGGGAGTGGGTGGTGTTGACGTACGCGGCGACGGCCGCCTCCAGCAGGATGCGGAGCGGCGCCCTCTCGTACGACAGGCCCTTCATCATGCCGCACCGGGACGACCCGCCGCCGCCGCCGCCGTTGTTCCGGTGATGGTGGTGGTGGTGGTGGTGATGGTGGTGATGGTGGTGTTTGCCTGCGAACAGAGAGCGATTCGCCCGTTTAAAACTAAAAACTAAAAAAAAAAAAAAGCGAAAAAAAAAATATATTGGATACCGCGGTGGTCGGGCGAGTGATGACTGATGGATCAGTTGAAATTAATATATATATATATATATATATATATATATAATCGAAAAACGAAGTGTATCTGCACGTTTAAAGGTCGGAAATCGAGTATAGACGACTATACTGTGGAAAGGCCGTTTTATACAAAGGAAGTACACGAGCGAGCGCTATTCTAAATAACGACTTTTATTAAGAATTGTTTTTTTGAATTTATAATAATTGCTTATTCAAATGTTAACTGTAACCACGCTTCCCTGCGCCAAGCTGCACGGGCATAGATTTCAATTATTATTCCCGACTCGATTGATTTATTATGTTTTGTACGACACGATTGGAACAATATTAATCTCAGTACAAGAGATAAAATACATAGTATTGATTTTAAATTTTAAGGGCCACACTAATGAAAGTTAAAAAAACGTATAACCAAAATTGTCCGAAATCGTTCTCCGTCTATTTAAGAGAAATATTGCATCTTAATATCTTTTAAATTAGTAAGATTGATTTAAGTTGTTTAACCAGTCGTCTTCCTGCTTTTTACTTTAGATACGCTGGTATACTGAAATTATAAGTTATTTTATTATTCATTGGTAATGCTACGATTCAACGAACATTTTTAATTCAATTAAGTTTAGTAAAAATAGTAATACGAATTCTATTGAAAATAAATAAATGTTAATACGTGTATAATGGTAGTTTAGATTGAAATGCAAGTATGATAAACAGATTCATTTAAAGAAGAAAATGGCTGACAACTGGCCTTCTGTTAAATAGTTATTGTGTTCATTATTTATTTTAAAGATAGTTTAACTGAATTATTCATTATGAAATTAGAATAAATGTATAGACATAAGAACACATAACAAATTTAGGTACCTATTGAAAAAATTAATTTAAAACTTAACATACGGCGTACCAAGTATTTTAAATGAGTTATTTAAATTGTTAAATAATTGTCCTCAATACGAATACGCCGGTAAAACGTTTTGCTAAAATACATCATTTCATTTGGGATATTATTATTTTAAATTCGAAAAATTCTGTTTTCATAGATTTATTATTCGATTATAAAAATGGTCCAATTTTAAGGTTTTATGCTCGAAAATTGTGTAGGGAATTATGCATATATTATAATAATGTTATACGACGACAAAATGAAATTAATATTATAAAAAATTCGCTTAGTGCTTACTGGTATCAGGTGGAGGCAGCGCGTGGGCACAAGTCATTCCAGGTGGTGTCATTGAACATCTACGCAATATATCGGATAAAACGGTGGCGCACTGCACGTTCTTCACTAACAACGGAATCATGGTGGCTAATTCATTTTTGCCCAGAGAGTGACTGAGCGCGCAGGCCCAATGTATGTCGTTAATGGCTGGATGAGTGTCCTGAAAAAAAAAATAGGGCGTCAAAATATGTTATTATTCAGTATACATAACTATTATCAAAACGTAAAATAAAAAACTTTGATCAAGTACGATTTGAGTTTTGCTCTATAATTAGTTGATAAACAAAAACTTAAATCTCTGAAAATCTATTTGAGATCAAAGTACTCATAGATACCGTTTGTGGTCACTTACAACCGAATCGATTGGTTGATTTCGATTAACACATAAACTAGAATTTCCATGGGAAATCGGGTTTTTATTCGGTTTGGGATTATATATTTTTTAAATCAATCGTAAAAATGTACCTGATTGTATGCCAGATGAACGTTCTTCATTGCGAGCATAGCGAGTTTGTACGCGCGGTTCGGATATCCACGGTGTTCCATGTAACGAGCGATTGTAAATAATTGTGATGAGGTCATGATATGTGCCGCAGCATCCAATACTATTTGGTAAGCTGCTTCGAACGCAGTCGCATCGTTCTCACACAAAGTCAGAGCGTTCAGAGCACAATTCGGAGGATCCTGTAATAATGATTATTACTTATTATCACAATTAATAAACAATAATTATACCTGGACAGTAATAGCACATATTATATTGTATGAAATTGTAAATAATATATTCATATATATATATATATATATAATTGATTTTGTAATGTGAAATTTATTTTATTTTTTTCTGTAGTTAATGATGCAGCGATGAAAAAGTGTATCGATTTAAATTAACATGGTACAAATAAAGTAATTAAATAATTAAATTTGATTATTTAGAGTTTATTATTTGGATTGAGAATCCAAAATTAACTCGTCTTGTATTTAATTTACCGTGTATGAAATTAAGTTAAATAATGACTAAAAGTGATCAGAAAAATTTAGTAGTAAATACGATTTTGTTAAGAAATACTCTTGTGTAATGAATGATATATAGATAAAATCCTAGTTCAATATAATATAAATAAATATAATTACATGGTGTGGCCTATAAGTTTCAACGTAAATAATATAATGTATAGGATCCTTACTTTGGACGCGCATTGAAGTGCCAATGTACGAGCGTAGCTCGACAGTTTTTCTTGGTGTTCAAACGACAGGTTTAATCGGAGCATTGTACTGTGAGACATTATAGTCGTAGCGACTGGTCCTGTAAACACAAAAAAATGTACGGTCAGCAACAACGAATGAATTGCGTTATGTGCGCATCCATATACACAATAAACGACTATAATATATTATGTATATTATGTGCGCGCTGCAATATCACGGCGTTCAAAATGATCATTTCACGTTATTATACTATGACGAACCTGTGGCTTCGGTGGGCGTAAATAATTGAAACCAATTTTGCATAACGGAGGTGAGAGCGTCCATGCCGACTTCTGTGGCACACGTCACCAACCATCGGACCATTTCGCGTCTTCGCCAGTTCAACGAAGCCAGCGTGATGCGCATTACCTGTAGAAATCACAAACAATCAAACATTATAAAACAACAGATTTAAACGAACATTATTTTGATATAAAATATACTGTTCCCACTAAACGTCTAAACTACGTTTTATAAATATTTGTATACGCCGTATATCGTGCAACTACACGGATAATAGGTATAACTTTAGTTAAATGAAATACATAACCCGCTGAAACGAGGGTGTTTCTTATATAAGAACGTTTTTCTAAAATAAACTCGATCGTTGGTTATACGCACTTGTAATCCTAGTTCGAAAGCGACAGTCAACAGCGGAGGATGTCTGGGTCCATTCTCAGGCGTCGCAAAACGAAACGCGTCTTGAGCTAATTTGAAGAGATGTGATGAGCTGTGTATGTGTCGTTGTGCAGATTCCAGTACGGTTCTCAGTCGAAGTAATTCACCTGGCAGGAAAAATATTAATGAAAATAATTATTATTTGAAGAGATACGGAAAACTCCTAAGTTTAACGACCACAAACTTAAGCCAACATACCTTTGGCGGCGCTCAGCATGGTAGACGCCAACGTGCATTGTTGCGTTTCGATGTGACCCAGCGTAAACCAACGCGGATAGCGGTTCAACATGACAGAAGAAGGGTTACCGTTTGGATTATCAGAGTCTTCGTGGTCTTCCAGTATCGGTAATCTGTACGCACACATTTTATACGCGGTTAAGTTTATAATAAAATTATATAAATATATTGAATATTTATATTTAAAGACGACTACGTCGACGCGACCACACGTTTTTGTATGGAATCTATATTGATTTATGTGACCTTTGTATGACAACCCCTCTTACTCACCTGACAAAATCTTTTGACGATATAAACGTATAAACATACGCCTATACCGTCGAAATTAAATTTCAAACAATTGGTAACAATCACATTAAAAGTTCTCGTGTTTTTATTTTTAAATAGACATTTTGATGGTTCTGTACATGTAATTATATTTTGTCGAAATAAGTGGTAGGAGAATTCGCACATCGATAATGACAAGCGTTATACCAGCCACATACCACAAATAAACCGTTCAGTATTACCATAAATAATAATTTATTGTATACACTCACCTCATAGCACGCAATCCGACTTCGTAAGCTAGGTCCGGATAATAGTCTAGAAGAGCGACGAACAAGAAACGAGCAAACGTGTGCATGGGTATACTGTCTCTATGCACGCCTAAGCCCAAGCCACTGGTTGGTCCACCGTCTAAAAGGACGATGGCTTGCCTGCGCAGGACTCCAACCAGGTTTGTGTCCATGTCTAGCTCTTGTAATTTGGCAATCAGTCTGTCTTCTTGTTTACACGCCTTCTCCTATTATGAATAAACAGAAAGAGACAAAGATGTAGTACAACTATAGTATAATAGATAATTTATAAACAAGAGTGTACACTTTATAGCAGCTGCATATGTGTAGTGTCGATTTCGTCGGAATCCCGTTTAATTTATTTGTCACTTATTTTGTTTATGTTTTACAAACATACGCCGGCTACATGAAAATACCATTATTCGCGCAAGTATAATGTGTATAATATGTGAGTGTAAATTGTCGGTTTAGACGAGTATAATTGTTTATAAATGTACAAATATAATTTTATTTGCATTTTTTTTCACTACGGCTTCTAACTCAACTCCGTGTAAATTTAATGCATGCATTCAAAAGACATTGTTTACACTGCACTGGCCACAAATGACATCCGAAATAATACTTCAGACCGACGAAGAAAAATTTAAAAATATATAATAGTACATATTGTATAAAGAAATGATTGATTCAAACATAGTATACAACAATATGAACCAAACACGTAGTACGCGTATCGTACGACGTTGAATACGAATAAATGTTTTTATTTAACGACAAAGAGCATCCGGTAAAGAATTGATATTATATTCGGTTTTTAAAAAGCGTGAGGTGTGTCTACAGTTTTTGTGAACCGAAAACGTTACTACGCCGTCGCCACTGTACACCACAGACGCGAGAAATCGTCTGCAGTCTCTAGACATTTTTTTCTTTTGCAACGATTTATTTCTCACCCCCAACATCTGCACTGGTTTTTTGACATCGACATAATATGCCTACATCCAATATTCTCTACACTTCCGAAGACAGGTCATTATTCTTATTCCATCTTATTATATAAACGCGTAATCATCCATAATTCAAGTTATTTTTTTTTTTTTAGATTTAGATAAAGGAAAAAAATTTATTGCTAGTGGCTAATCTCAAAAACACCTGGACAAATTTCAATAATATATATATATATATATCAATAAATTCCTTGACTAGGATGATGTTTTTAATTCCTTACTACAATTTTTTCAAGTTTATAAAAGGTGGCTCACACATGATTTTGTTTTTATTCACAAAAAGCAAACTTTTTTTTTTCTTTTATACATATATATAGGGAGAAATGTCGTTATGTTTGTAGTTTAATGACTTAAAAACTACTCAACTAATTATGAAGAAAGTTTAAAGATTGTTTTTAAAGATATTAAGTATGTTGAGACTTCATGGATTGAACTGTTTGAAAATATACCTCAAATTGATTGACCATTTTGATCAAAATACTTGATAAAACGAGGTACATCAATGACGATTCGCTCGTGAATTGAGATACACTAGTATACTGAAATATACTCTAATATAGCTGTATTTTATTTTGATAATTTTTTCCCAGGCAAAGTCGAATTATACAGTAAGTATTATATTATAATAATACCTCTCACTTACACACACACGTATATATTTATGTAAAACAGTCTAAGGTATTTACACGCGTATCCATATAATTTAGCCCAATTAAAATACGCTGCATAATGTATGTATTATGCGTACATTTAATACATAAATTTAATTGTTAGCAAATAAATATGCCGACAAAAAAAAAAGCATTAAATAAGATCACTTTTGTAGTATACTACTATTCAAAACAAAATAATTGTACGTTTTATATCTAATCGTTTAATAACTACTCCTATACAAGTAGGTAATAAATAATACTCAGGGTTGAACATACATTATACCTACCTTGCTGTATATCTAATTTTAAGTTTCACAAACAAAATTATTTTTTCGATACAACTGTTGTGTGAGCTAGCGACCTCGTTATTTTTCAATTCAAACTTACGGTACAACACTCGTCCCTAAAATATGCATATAGGTCGTTTTTAAGAGAAGCCATTTTTTTTAATTACGTCCACCGTGAAGGTGTTTCTTTTTCATTTCGAGAAACAAAAGTACAATCTCATAATAATAAATATTAATGTTAATGTTTGAAAATTAATTTTCATATACACTAAACTTTTAAATAGAAAATAATAAATAAATCATAATTATACATGAAGATTGCTATGACCTGGATTTATTGTCTACACCGCGCACACGTAAAACATTTAATTATGAATTTCGGAATCAACTGTATTATTAAAAACTTCACCCTTTTATATATTATATTAAAATTAATGTTTTTTTTTTGCTTTTGGCGATTGCCATTAATAAATGATGAAGCGTCATTATACAAAAGACGACTTCGAAGCAACCCAATTGCAAAGGAATAAGAATTGATCGAAAAGTTTTTTATTATCATTTTTAATATTTTTGAAATGGATTTAAGGCGACTCTTTGATAACAATACTCACTAACAACAGTATAATATACGACACGTAAAAACAAATTTCTAACTGAATTGTAATTTTTATGTATACTCATACATGTATATGTGAGCCAGGTGCGTACGACGAATAAAGTGTCGATGAGGAGTGAAGACAGGTGTGTGGTGGTGTCCTGGTCATTGGCGAGCTTAGGTATCATATATTATTTTAGCGTATAACACCAACAGGTACGAAAATATTATTATGGCAAATTAATGGGAATTATTTTTATAGGCGTTTGACAGGTTGTAAGCGGTGGCAGAAAAACAGGTTAACTACACGCAACGGTGATAGCGGGTTGACTTCCACTTATTAGTTATTCGATTAGTACGCATTGCTAGCTGGTCTAACTACGTCAGGAGTTAGTCTGTATGTGAATAGGAATTATTATGAAACAAAACGCATTGTTTTACGCACCAAATAGTCATGTAAATCGCCACAATCCCATAAATCCCTTGTCCAAATGATAATAGTATTTTTAATACAATAGCTTTCACAGATTTAAAAGAAATAAATAAAATATAATAGTAATAACAATAATCTAGCACTCTAAAACAGTCGTGCGGCGTCTTAGACAACTATTATACACACATTACGTTCGTTGTGTAATGACTTATAGATTATGATATACATACGCACGCGCTAACGTACACACGAACACACGAATTTATACGTGCGTACAATATTAATCAAGCAATAATAATCGTACAGCCCAGGCGAATATTGCTGACCTCATAACGAAACCATAATACATATCACCAGTAAAACCGGCCCGGAGCCGTGAACTTTGAAACCTGTTCATGGGCGCGTGCGTTGCTGACCGCCGTTTCGACACAGTGAACTTCTCTTTTATCTGTAGGTAAGCAATATTACATTGGCATACTACGTACCTATCCTAAATCGTGTCCATCGATTAGCCACCCGATCGGCCGGTTCCAAGCATAATGTGTAGAGAAAAATATGAACGCGCACGCACAAGAATATTTATGACATATGTAACAGCCGAGTATAATACTTTGTATTGCCGTACAAAAACTATACCTACTATAGATAATATAGTGTATATTGTATCGCCCCGCATTTGCCATAATCGGCAGTATTATCTTTTACAATATTGATAACTATTTTTGTTTTTTTTTTTTTTTTCTAAAGGGTTTTGAATAATCGTCATTAGTTTCTACAGTGGAGACCACCATGTGGTTTTTATAGTATCTAAACTTCAAAACATGAAAAACAAAATGCCCGTTAAATATATACCTCCTATTGTAGACAATGAAACAATGTTGTACACGTCTTAAAACGTTTTCGAGTTGCAGGACTGCGGGAGGCTCGCAAAGGAATGCACATTATAATAATATATTGTATACGATATCTGAGACAGCGGGCGGGCCGTAGAGTGAGCACAAGGGCTGTGGCGTGCACGCCCTAAACATAATATGCATTGTATAAATATACATTTATAGTCCGAGTTTGTTTGAGTCGGTTTTTGCAGTAAAATACTACGTCGCAGCCGACGAGCGATTATAATTCGATAATCTATATAAGAAATCTGACCAAAAATAAATGACATTCGTCCATTACCACTGCGTGCGTCGTCGTATACAACAAAAGCCCCCTCACCCTAAGAGTATGTGTGTGTCTCTAAACCTTTATACGACGTTCACAATACGATAATAATAATGACAATAATACAATAATTACGTGTATACAGTGTCATAGACGTGCGCGCGAGCGTACGTATACACATTTCATATTGTTCGGAGCATAATATAGAACTGTGGATGCATGTTGGTACAAGTTTTATATAAGAAACTGGTAAAAATCTGCGTAAGAGTGTATGCATCCCCCACGCTGCGAAAATAAATAATAATAATAATAGTGTACTAAATGGGATATGAAAAACGATGAAAAGAAATCGACCGACTCGCATAATCGCGTATTATGCGTGCTGGATGGTTGTGCTGGCACCAGCCTTTTTACACACATACGTACACGTATTATCGTACATAATGCATATACCTAATAATAGTATGCGAGTTCGAGTCTTGACATATTTTCTACGTAGCTGGATATGTAATATTTTATTCCGTTTCGAATTCTATAGTGGAAGTTACAGAGAAGAGGAAAATAAATATAGAAACCTACCTGCGAATATCCGCGTAAAATATTTTACACGAAATACAAAATACGATATTCCAGCACACACATATTTGTAATATAAAATATTAATAAATCCAAATGCATTACACTCGTAGTTATTATCATGACCATTATTTTCTACTGAATATATAAATGTCAACTCGAAAATTTAGCACGATATTATATTATACGCGAGCACGGCTAGTTCATACAATATTAATAAAAACGCGATCGAAAGAATTACGTTAGGCAAAATGGACAAACACAAATGGCATACACACACGTTGTGTGTTCAGAGCATAATTAATTGATTAATATATATTAAAAGTGTTATGTTTGCTTTCAAGTATGTACATAGTAGGCAATTAAATATTTTATGTCAATAAATAATATATGCTATTTTACGCGTGCGATTCGAACACGCATAGTATTGCACATGTGTACGCGTGGTTTATATATTACGTTCTATATACGACGCGAGTAACTTTTTCATCACCTAAATTCCGGTTCGATATGATAAAAACTAGGTTAAAAAAAATAAATTGAGTTATTTTTAACGTCAGAAGAGAGGGGCGAAATGCTTACATGACTAATACCGCACAAACATCTAAAATGTGATCATGATATGAGCAATAGTAATAATGGGGTTGGCGTGCGTATATCGGTTGCCAGAAATCAGAATTTGCTCGGAGCAGACATGGTGTGATAAATGTCACACTCAGTCATAAAAAAATTGTACACTGTGGCGTGCCGTTAAGTCTACAATTTATACTGCGCAATAAATTTTAATAAATAGTCTGCAAGAGTTGTTACTTATTATAATATGTATACATACATACCACGCGTGGCAATGCATTAAATACAATATATTTACGTGGCGAACAAGCCAAGAATATTTTTAATTTTATTTCCGACAATGACTTGTATAATAATGTACATAACCGCTAGATTAATTCGAAAAATTAAAATCCGACCAATTACGACCAACGGCGGTATTATACTACTACAGCTACAGTGCAATGTACGAAAAACTTGAAAACTTACCTGAGCGTAAAGTCCGGGAGGCATGTTACGCTGTTGACCGAGGCCGATGAGGGCGACTTCGACCGCAAGCGACAGGTACGTTTCGGAGCGGTCCTGCGAACCAACAACAGGTATATGGGTAAGGCGGGGAGTGGGTCGCAGGATACCCTCTTCGGATGCGTTGGCGTCTAAAAATAAAAATAAAAATTTAACCATTAGCTACATTACCACATAACGTATATTTATTTGTTATAATTCATGGGAAAATCCATTTTTATACAACATAAAAACACAGACAGGATTTTTGATGAAACAATGTCACTATAAAAAAGCTCAAAACTCATAAGTGTGGTGTGTAAAATTAGTGAAAGAAAAAATAAAAGACAAGTTAAGTTGCGATATCTTTGCCTATGAACAGTATAAATTGAACAATAATATGGCAGAACATTCCTCGAGAAGAAGCCCCTCCCCCCTCCCCTAAAGGAAGGAGCGATGATATGCCTAAGGCGATAATGTAGACATTATATAATAAACATTTACACATACCGAAAAACGACGACGGCGAATGAGGCACATTTGGATCAGGAACTATAGATGCATCAGTCAGTGTGTCGAACAGGCAGCCGATCGGGTCCATCGGGTGGCCGACCCATCCTTCGGTCCAGCTGTTGTGCAGCACGGCGGTCTGTTGGTTGGAACCACCGCCCACGCTGCCCCGGGAACTGCTTCCGCCGTTCCGGCTGTTCGTGCGTTCCGGGTACCGGTACCCGGAAGAGCCACCTCCGCCGCCCATGTTGCCGCCGCCCATGCCGCCACCGCCACCGGACATAGGTCCGCCCGGCGTGCGCGGCGGCGGGTGATTGTCGTAATAGGTGCAATAGCTGTTACACCTGGGCGCGGTACACAGATTGGGACGGGGAGCGTCGGTGAACGCGGTGCACCGGTAACTGGAACAGCCCGCGCTCCCGCCGCCGGGGTAACCGGACCGCGAGTCGTTGTAACCGCACCGGGACAGGCTGCACGCGGACGACGACGACGACGACGCGGCGGCGGCGGCCGACGACGAGGACGACGGCGGACCGCCGCCGGACGACGAGGCGGACAGGCGGTCGTAACCGCCGCCGCCGACCATCGGGCACGACACGCAACGGGACGAGCACGGGCGCGTCTGCGAATAAGTGTCGTACGAGCACGACTGCGCGGGACGCAGCTCGTAGCACCGGGTCGGCGGGTTCGAGTGCCGGGACGGGCACCGCGGCGGCGGCGGTTTCTGGCTCTCCTGCCACCGCCGCTGCGCGTCCAGCTGCTGCTGCTTCATCGTGCGCACCACGCACACGGCCAACCGGAGCGCGGCCGCGTGGTGTCCGTGCGACCGGAGCGCGTCCACGCGCGACGCGCAAGTGGCCAGCGCCTCGTGCCACAGCGGCTGTCCCAGCGAGTTGAAGCTGCCCGACTGCGTGCTGTCCGGTATGTGACTGCTGTACGTGTCGCTGGACAGCACGTTCTTCAGATGTATGTTGTCCCAGGACATGCTCACCGCGTCCAAAGCTCTGTGACGAAAACACAAAACCCGTAGAGTTAGCTGGTGACGGTTGTAATGTTATCGACAAACACCGCAGCCGTGCCGAGTAATCGGAGACGGGGTTTGAAAAACTTAACCGGTCGCTCGACGTCATTGATGGGTAACCGATATATCGGATAGTTAACGTTAAATTAATATGAATTTATTAGATATTCGTCGTCCTGCCAATCGCCATTTAAAATGGAAAAAAAAATGATAAGACTTGATGCACGGCGCCAACGCGTAACAGAAAAGTCGGCGAAAAAACGTCATCGACATAAGATTGAAATATTTTATAGGTAACGGAATTTAATTTTAAAATAAAAAATATATTGTAAAAAGCAATAATATTTTATAATATAATTATTATGTAATGTGTTTATAGAACGAGTGATTAGAACACAGGTTTATACCCACCTAGAAATACAAACTTAAGATCACTCTTAATTTGATAGGTATATAATTTTTTTTTCGTTTATAAATGATTAGCGACGTCTGAGAAAGCGCTACATACAGTTCTTGTGCAAGAAAATGACAAATTAATAACACATAATCTACTATATAATAATATTATATAAGTATGTAACTAATAATATGTTCTTTCCTATGATTTATAGTACATATTATAATAGTTAGAATTTCGAAAAAAAGTACGAATACTTTATAAACCTCACGTTAAACGGTTAAAATAGTGTGCAACTGCAATTATACCTGTGAAATATTGTACGGTTGATTCGCTGGCTCGTGCTAGGATAACTGCTCCTGTACCTCGGACTGGATCTGCTAGATCGAGATGAGGGTCTGTAATTGATATTGTCCACATCGTCGTCTGAACCGTTCTCGGGCGGCTGATGATGATTTCTCTAAAATGATATAACAAATCGATAAGCGGTCAACGTCAACATTCTATTAATATAGCTAAGCTATTGATTTTTTTTAACGATTTTATTTTACGAGAGCTTCATTTGTTAATCTTATAACTTCAAAGGCGTGAGAGGATATTCGCGGGTTATACTATTATACAAATACTCACGTCGTTGAAGGCGGGAGGCAGGGCCAGCATGTCGGGGTCTTCGGGCGGGCATATATCGACGTGTGTCCACTTGTCCAGCAACGTCTTCCACTGGCCTTTGTCAATGGCCGTGCAGTGAGGATTGAGCACGATGCACACCCACAGGGCGCCCAGCTGGTCCCACAACTGCCGGCATTTATCCGTGATCGGCGTACCCTGAGACTTCCACAGGGCCAGCCGCGGGTCGCACAAGAACTGTTCGGTGATGAGGGTCAACATCCGGGCGCCGTTTGAGTCCTGGGCCCGGAGCATCTCGCGCACCTTAGCGAACAACGAGTTGAGCTGCTTGTTCGCGTTGTAATAGCTGCCATGCGTCAAGTACGACCGGACCTGTTCGCACACCTGTTCTTCGTCCAAGTGCCAAGTGTGTTCGTCGTCCGCGCTCGGACCTGCTGTCGGGTCGGGTGCTCCTGTGGAAAACATCGAACGGTTAAAATGCGTTCATACCACGACGCTCGTGGACAGCAATAAATCGATAATAAATAATATCAAACGATCGTGAATAGCGATTCATTTGTAATCATAACGGTAGGTAGGTATAAAGTATGTATTTCATCAGCATCGGCAGGCGACAACGGGAACGCTGTAAGCGAACGAACACCGTCAGCTCGTCGAAAATAAAAATTCACAACACGTATTTTTATTAATATTTTCATTATCATCGTACGTCGACGTCGTGTTATTATTATTATTATTATTATTATTATTATCATCATCGTCGTCGTCGTCGCAGTTGTTGTTGTTATTTTATACTATTTCCGATTACTCGATACGATCGCGCAACAATCGCTGGCTATGCTATCACCGTTGCACATTATTACCTATATATGTAGTATGCATAATGAGTAATAATAATATTATGACCTCCCACCCGATACCACGACGAGCTATGGCTACGTGTTGTTTATTATTATTATTCACGACGACTTCAGAATACCGGCACGCGCGTATTCGAGTATATCACCTGAAATTAACAGTTCTATACCACGCAGTGTCGTGCGCGGTCGATAGCTGTTCTAAAGTTAATTTATACAATATACGAGGTACTTATCCGAACGATACGACGATTGCTTGTTTGATTACACGCGTACAAGCCGTACATAGGTAACTAATACAACAATATTTAATATAGCGTATATTATGTGATAAATATAACGAAATAGAATGTTTGGTGGGGGAGGGGAGGGGGAAATAAAGGAATAGAAACTCGCTTATTGCACTATATTTGATCGTTTTCACTAGGAATGAAAAAATTGTATGCGTATAGGTACTGGAAGGAAAAAACCGTATTGTTAGTTTTCGCAAATTCGTTGAAAACATAAAAGTCAAGGAAACGGTTTTTTTTATCGAGATCATATAACGCGCGCATATTATTTTTAACAGTGGAGGAAACGCGTTTCAATATCAAACATAACATTTATATATTATATCCAATACGCGTGCGAATCGACTACGCGATATCAGCATACGGTTATGAAAGAAATTCAGAAACATAATGAGGGGCTCCGACTGAAAATATAGTCTTATAATAAATAATAATAAGTACCTATATTATAATATATAGTGTGCATGCAATAATAGAAGTAAATCGAGTCGACGAAGGGAAAGTTATCAGAAAAAGCTACATTTGTGGCTGCGGCGGGGAGAGAAGATAAAAAAAACCTACGTATCGTTAATAAATACTAAAAAATATATATATTATATTATACAGAGTAATAACGTCGGAAAATTCTACCCCAATTACACATGGCGTTCGTTGTAGCCAGAGAAATATAGCTATCGTTTTGTGGGCTTCCCGAATTGATATTATAATAGTCCCCGAGTCCTTTAGGCGCATAATTAAATCTATATAAAAAAAAAAAAAATTAGGAGCAGAACAAGTTTGGCTTCTATATTATAAATAAAAAAATACGTGATTTTATAATGTATATTTAGAGAGAGCCGGCAGTATTTTATTATTACATACCTAATACCAATACTTATTTTATGTGACAAGAGCGGCATAAATATTATTTATAAAATGGTTCACCGTGATCGGAGCGTATAATATTATATTTATAATACCGCCCCAACTTGAACTCGATAATATAGAACTACGACTATATCAAATAAATTGTTATATACGATAAAATACTACCTAACCGACAACTTCATCATCATTATCATCCTTGTCACCGTGACACGAATTTCGTCAGCTATCGTATCACAACACAAAATTGCAGCGACAACGAGACGTTAGACAGAGACAAGAATAACCGCGTTTGTCGATTTCCTGGGTAGTAAAAATCATAAGTTCGTTTCACTACCGCGTCCTGCCGAATAACACGGCAACAACAACAATAATAGTAGTTTAATAACGTCGTAACATACGACTGCAGGTCCTGCTGGTTAGGATCTCCAAGATAAGTTCGTGACCAAAGTTTAACCGAAAGAAATACACTTTTCTTATACCAGAAAACCGTTCAGGAAAACGCACGGCGACGGGTCGTCGACGACGCTAATTGGTTTTCCGAGCCGTCTATATCAGGAATGGTGTGGAGATGCGAAAACGCTACACATGCAGCGCGCGACTGTGGCCATAAATGAAATGTCGTTCGTGAAACGTTTTCTTCTGGGCCCTGTCGTTAGTTTCGTGAACACGTTTTCTCGCTACCTCACACGCACGCACACCAGGCGGCGATAAATCAAATTTACCGAAAATTAGGCACAACCCTCTTTTCGTAATGATTTACAGACGGCGGCGGTCTGTAATCGATTTCGAGTGAAACGATCCCACGGTACGCAAGCCAGTCAGCCAACCCGCACACACACACACACACACACACACACCCTACGTATGTTCAGACAAAGACAAAGTGTCCGTTTGGTTGCCTATCGCGAGTGGCTGCGGTGGCGTCATTGTACGCAAGACGGGTGAAGGACGTAAAAAAAAAAAAAAACAATATATATTATATTAATTGGTAAAACGCTGACACTCGACGGGACGACAACCGGTTTTCAGATTTTTTTCCATCTCCTCTCTCCGCGACATCACCATCCATCCCCCTTATTCTCACCGCCCCGACAAACCGTACGACGACGACGACGACAACGACTTTGCGGGGAGACGCACGAATCCAATATTTCTTATATTATTAGTGTGTATCGTAATAACGTCACTATATACTTGCACTGTACACATGACCAGAAACGGAAGACGCATATGCGTACCTATACTTAATAGTTCGTGTGTGTGTGTGTGTCCATGTCCGAATAAACCGGACTAAACCGGTCGCCATCGATTTATAAAAAAAAAAAAAAATGATAATAACGTCCATGGAAACCTACCCTACAACAATACACAACAATGAATTATTACACTAACCGAAAACCCGAATTATTTGTTAATTTTATTATTATTTGTTCCCGTCCAAAAAAATGTAAAGCTCTCAAAACCTCCGTCGGACCGATGAATATCATCACATCGATGATGTTCCCCATTGACCATTACTCCTAAGAGTGCAAAAATCAATCAACGTGTGAAGACAGCAGCAGCGATAAGCTGCATCTCCGGTATTATTGCGAAGCCGAACGTGAAAGTCAATTTTTGTAAGGTCTTTTTTTTCACGGCAAAATATTATATTTGATCCTCTCCACACAAATAACTCGTTTGCCCAGCATTATAATGAGCTTACGCGCATCCGGCGAGACCAGAAATTCAAATAACATAGGTACGAACTGTGAATAACATAACATCGTTATTATTTATAATAATATAATTATTATCGTACACGTCGCTACGGGAAACGGACACAAGAACAAATAAAGTAATCTTCTTTATTTCGGCGGCGGAAATATGACGAAGAGAACGCGCAGTATAAGATATCCGATAATCGTTCGATTGACGACGACGACGATAATATAATTATTGTAAACGAGTCGGCCAATGTAATAATAATATGATATTGTGAGTTGAGTTATAGAAGAGGAGGGGACGAAAATATTAAATATATACACTGCCGGGCCGACCGTGCCAAGATTAATATACGTGGAAAACAATAGAAACAACACCGGATATTATAGTTAGTGCAATTGCTTGTAGCGCGTGCGTTACGTGGGTCCGGCCTAGCCCTCATTCGCTGCACAGCAGCTCTCGGCGAGACATTTTATAATAATATACAATATTATAATATAATACGTACACTAAACGCCGCCGATCGATTTATATAATATACGCACGCACGGCGGCGTTGTATTATTATTATCAATATTACACCGGTCACCACTGTCCGCGAGGTGTTGGTGGCGGTGGCGGTGGCTGGCAGGGGCAGCTGTTGGTCTGGAACGTGCGACGGAAGAAATAGCGTCGACGAAATAATAATAGAAAGAAAAAAAAACCCGTATAACTTTTTTTCCTCTCCGACGGTTTCCCCTTCTTCCGGCTACTCCCACCAACGACCGTCATTGGTCCGGATACTTACACACTAATCAACTAGAAAGTGTAACAAATTATGCGTACCCATAATATATATATTATATTATACACTATATACACACTAATACTATTTTATACATTTATATATACTGACCGACCAACCGACGGAGGCGGTGGCGAAGAAAAATTTACTTTTTTCGTTCGTTTTTATTGTTGCCCGAGAAACATGGATTCCACTTATGTATACGTTTGTACAACACACTAATGTATAATATAATATTACCACAGTTCTGTTATTAGGTACATACCGTTCGGTCTCCGTACAGCAGTACATTACAGCAGATACTCTACTCACGTATAATATAACCAGTGATATACAAAATATAATAAATAACACCGTTTATTTATTTATTTTTACGAGCACATTTTTATTTTTATGTAGTGCCGCAGTATTAGATAACGTGATCGAAATAATATGATATAGATGTGAAAATTAATAAATAAGGTTTTCCGGTAGGTATAACCCGAAATTTCGATAAATTTTTGTCTTTTTTTTAAACTCAGCCACTAACTATAATTATAATACATAATTACCTACTAACATTGATTAATAACACGCAATGATCAATGCCACTTATACATTTCGTGTTTTTTATTTTTCAATATTTGAAATAAATAAAAAAAGGTCAGTGGCAAAGAGACGCTATTGGTTGACGAATTTGTTACATAGGTATATATTTTTTAGATATCAAGTTATTGAACAATAGCTATAGTCATTGAAATGTATGCATAGTTATATAACAATTATTGTTATATTAATACGACGAAGTATTTTTTTTAAAAATTATTCAATTATTGTAATAATTAATAATTTATCTCTTGAAAATAATCATAAAAATTACATCGAATTTACAAGAAGCAGTAGAAAACATTTCAAAGACTAAATATGATTGGATTAATTACTGCTTTAAGTTTACTTAATTTGTACATTTTTGA